TTGTGTGGCATAATGTCAAAATTGTCAGAGGGGGGAAAAAATGTCTTATGTTATGACGAAGAAAGAAGCCTCTTTAAAAGAAATGCATTATTGTAGTTTGGCTTAATTAATGATTTTTTTTTTAATTATTGTAATTTTATTTTTTTAATCAACAAAGCTTCTTATTAATATTTGTAATGTGTTGTAAACAACACACAGAACCATAAAAGCATGCAAAAAACAAAAACAAACTGCAGTTCATTCTAATGTTTGTCAATATCAATCATTTCTTAAAATATCAAATTATTTAGCCTTTTTATGGCAAAGTTAGTTAAGATTGTAAAACATCATATGGTGCGACTCCGCAGAAGCTTAATGATATTTATGAATTAATAAGTCATAATATTTGTATTAAAAAACTGCAAAAATATATATATTAAAAACTTTTGGAAAATGATTAAGATGTGTACATGCATTCATGCTGTAAAGAAAATATGTTCATTCTTGATGGTTACACCACAACATTTTTAGAGTTAAATTTCTTGTTCTTAAAAATGCTATTAATGGTATAAAAGGTTTTCAAAGTCATGAAAACAACATGAATACAAAAAGAAGAAAAAAATGGGCCCATGGTTTTTCTTAATCAACACTCTTATTTATCATTTTCTAGACTAGTTTTCGGAATGATTGTCAATAAATATTCTTCATGAACATTATTTAAAATAAAGTGAAGTTTGTAGATGTAAACATAAGCTAAATGTAATAACTTTACTTAAAGTAGTTAGTTATGCAAATGTGCTAATAATATACAGTTAATTCTAAAAAGCACTACAGTATAATAATGAACAGTCAGTGATTCTGCATGCATAACACTTGTGATAATGGTACCGGGCCTGCATGTTATGGCCTACTTCCATATGCAGTAGTGTAGCCCAGCAGCCTTTAGGGACTGGTTTAACTGCTTAACATTTACTTTCTGTTCTGTTATGTCAGAATTCTTATTTGATTTGCATGATGCAGGTTTGTAAGTCGATTATCTAAAGGTTCACTCCATATTTAGATACTCATATTGCCCCCAAGTCTATATTAAGTTTGAGTTTGTTAGTTTATACATAAAGTAGCAATACAACTGCATTCCAACTTCTTACTCAAAATTCATCAAGTGCATGCAACTTAACAGATGCACACATCAAGAATGAGCATAATATACATTTAAAAGGCTAAAATAAAAGCCTCTGCAAAGCCAGCAAATGAAAAATGAAATGAATGAAAAGGCAAACACAAATGAGATAAGCAAAGTTACCTTGTACCGGGCAGGCAAATCCTCTTGTCATTCTGAATGTGTTAAGAAAGTATATCTTCCATTCACTCACTCACTGTTGGTAGGAAAAGCTGTGCTATTAACAGTGTTACTATGGGTTGACAGGCATCTTATCCTCTAAATCTTCTCTAATAGGATTACATTCACTGTGCAGTGTGGGTCAATAGCCTGTAAAGAGACAAGAAAATATACAATAAATTATATGCTTTGCATTTAACTGATTGTATGTTATTTTTTCCTTAAATTAAATATCACATTTTGTCCAAATGTGTGAGATTATAATTTCCATGACCACTTTCTTTACATCATTTATGTTTATTTGTTATTAGCTATAGATAACACCTATCTGGAAAATTACATATGAAAACGGCTAACATTTTCATTGACCACTTGTTGTATTTTATGTATAAACAGAGGGGCAAAGTTGCTCACACACTTTTAAATCCAGAACCTTTTTTTTTCCTCATTTGACCCCAGTATACTCATCTGTGACTTTCTGTCTCTGAGAACTCCATGTGCCAAAGAGACCAATAACATAAATATAAAAGCCAGCAAGGTCACGACTCCAATATAATGATGTGCCCTTAATGGAAAATGCCCCTTGGAATCGTTTTGCTCCAGGCGGAATAGTTACCAATATAGAAACCATATTTTGAATCAACAGAATCACTCAGCTGAGAGAGTGAGCCTGGTTGATTGAAATTTAGGACATGCTCTTTGACATTTGTCAGTGTTTCATTCTTAAGATCTCAAATATAACATTTATTTTGTATAACAAATATTTTATGCCTTAAAGCAGGAATAAATATGTACATGTTGCAGTTTAAGGCATACAAGGTCAGATTAAAATTTGCACTAAAACTGACAGCTATAGATTACACATTACAGGGTGGCATTTTGATGACTGTATTTTGTCATTAAATTATATAATGTTAATATAATAACTGAGCTAATAGGTATTATTAAAATAATTGCAACTTTAAAATAAATGATCATAATTTACTGTAAAGCTATACATGTTGCATAGTGAAATGGAACAATTATAAATAATATCATTTATTTTTTACTGTATTTCTAATATATTTAAATAATAATTCCACCAGTTTTCAGTGTATTTTTTCAGTGACCATGGTTTCTCTAATTTTATTGGCCTTATGTAAAAATGTGTATAAATATAAATAAATATAGCAAATAAAATATTTAATTAATATAAATGTATATAAAAATATATAAAGTAAAATGGTAAAGTATATTTTGTTGTAAAACATTTTTTTTTGGAGATTTTTTCCCCAAATTGCTCACATTTTTACAATGTAGCTCTCCCTGAAGAGTTACCACTGAAAAAATGTCTAGCTTGCCTTATTTTCAAAGTGAGACATTATTATTACTGTATATTATTCATATTTATATTAACATTATAATATATTTTTTATTTAATATTTTCTGCAAATATGAACTCTTTTTTTATTTCTCCATGAAGAATTTGGCTTATATTTATTGTAATTTTCGGCAAAGATACAGCAACACAGCAAGTCTTTATACAGTAATACCATGATTTTATGTTTTGTAATGTTCTGCTCAACCTAATCTGTTAGCGGCATTCAATCTGATCAAACCATGGTCATTTTGTATTATGAGCTTTTGTTCTGCTTCTACCACCCCGGATGTTCAAATCCCTCACCTTCCCATTCATTTCAACACAAGATTAGCACTTATGTGCCCTGACACACACAAAAAAAACATGCCCCATCATTGATTTAAAGTGAATTTAAACCTTTAATCACCTAACTCATGTAAACCGACACGTATGCCCTTAAACGTAATGAGAAAAACCATCATGATTTGATAAGCTGAGTGAAGATCCTAATCCTGCACTCATTCACAACTGTCTTTTCACTGTTGACTGACAATCTCTGATGGATTACTCATCCGTACCTTAGATGATGCGCCAGGGTTTCCTACCTGCACCACCCATTAAAAGTGACAGAGTTTGGTGGCCTTGAGGAATTGACGCATAGGTAGCTTATAAAAGATGACTAGATGAGGGTCTCAGACATCAGAGACAAGCAAACGCACGCATAACCAGACAGATCAGAGATCCTCCGAGAGAAAAACTTTGGTTGGCTCACTTCTTTCTGCACAACAGGTGGGTAAAAAAATCATCCACTGAGGTTGAGCTTTACATATTTTCTTAATGTTTTGTTTTTTTTGCAATGTCTAATAATTCATGTATTCATGTTTATTTTATTAATATAAAGCATTATTTCACAGACATGCATTCTGTTCACAATTTTCTTTGTTCTTTTAATTCTGGTGTGCAATGAAATAATGCTTTGCATAACTGTGCATGCCCTTAATGTGATTGAGTATGCATAAATGTGAATATTGCTGTGTTATCAATATTGGCATGAATCATTGTGCTGTATCAGACATGGTGAGGGGAGTGAGGATGTTGTGTCCTGCTTGGCTCTTGGCTCTGGCTGTTTTGTGTGCGGGTGGATCTGAAGTCAGAGCTCAGTGCTGGGAGAACGCCCGCTGCAGAGACCTCACCACTGACGAGAACATCTTGGTGAGTTACAATATACCTTGCACACATGACTGCTTAGCTGCTAATGTTAGTTCTTTCAGCTCAATCTGCAAGTTAGCTCACTAATTCAAAATCTTATTGATTAATAGTGAGACTAACATCATGAATGCTAATTCTTCAGGATTAGGCATTTGAACAAACCACAATCCTGAATGAGAACTCTCTAGTTTCTTCTTCTTTTGCTCTTCCCAAGGACTGCATACAGCTATGCAGGTCTGATCTGACAGATGAAACCCCCGTCTACCCTAGAGAAAGCCATTTGCAGCCTCCCTCCGAGCTGGAGCAAACTGAGGTCCTCTCACCCCTGTCCCCAGCAGCCCTCGCTCCTGATGAGCAAATGGACCCCGAGTCCAGCCCTCGGCACGAGCACAAGCGCTCCTACTCCATGGAGCATTTCCGCTGGGGAAAGCCAGTGGGTCGCAAGCGCAGGCCTATCAAGGTGTACACAAACGGCGTGGAGGAGGAATCCGCCGAGACTCTCCCAGCTGAGATGAGGCGCGAGCTGGCTACCAACGAGGTCGACTATCCTCAAGAGGAGGGCGCTTTAGACCAGCAGGATAAGAAGGATGGCTCCTACAAAATGAAACATTTCCGCTGGAGCAGCCCGCCTGCTAGTAAGCGCTATGGAGGCTTCATGAAGTCCTGGGACGAGCGCAGTCAGAAACCCCTTCTCACGCTCTTCAAAAACGTCATAAACAAAGAGCACCAGAAGAAGGGCCAGTGAGGGGGTTTTAATGGGAGGAGTGGATAGGGGATTGTTTTTAATATACTTTCTTCCCAGCAAACTTATCATGCATAGTAAACAAAAAGAGGGTGGGTGGTGTTACCAGTAGCACTTCATTCTTGATGCTTAGAGTTTATTCACATTGTAGTAAACAATAAATTCTGAATTCTATACATAGAAATGCTGTGGTGATTAAATACTGGTTTAGAGGCTAAAGAAACAGCATTTTAGATTATTTATTGAATTGTATTATACTGTCAATTTTGAAAATGTGACGATTGTTTCATGCAGAAAAGAACAAAACGGTTCATTTCTGAGAAACGAGCATTCATTAGAATCATTCAGACGTATGTGCAGTTGCCAATAAAGCTATAAACACAGGTCAGACTTTGAATTCATAAAATTAGTCTTTAATTGATATTCTTATTATTCACACCACATATGTACATCACTTAATGATTTCATGTAGGCAAACATTCACAGAACACAGTTCTGAAGTCTCATCCTTTTACAGTGACAGCATCTAAACACATACATAACAGGAACTAAGTTGACTTATTACGGTCCACAGTGTTGTAATGATCTCACTTAAATTAAAAATGGTAAAAGCACAGACAAAACACCCAGTGCATGCAGCAGCTGACAAGGAAAGACTAAACTCTGATATTTCATACACGCAAAATCACCTCACATGTAAGCAGTCTAGAATATTTCATCATAGCCATATAAACAGAGAAGATAAACCAATTTGTTTTTATGCTTGCAAATAAATTCAGGGTATCACCAAGGATGAATATAAAGTAAAACCAGAACATGAAAAATTACTTCATGAACTAAAAAAAAAAAACAGGTGGTTTTACGACAGAAAAACAAGATAAACGTCCATGTTTTTATGTGGAACCGGAACAATATGATATGACAACAGATTACACACCATAAAATTTTAGACAAGAACACATCAAGATGAAATTTTGCGCAACATAAAGTATATTTTCCAGCATACACCACATTTACACAGTGAGCATTAAAGTGCTGCGTTTAAATCCAGGACAACAAAATCTTGTTGTAAACCTGAAATTATTTACAAATTTAATAAAATAAAGGACTCGTTACTGTACAAGTGTCAAATGAAATGCACTAATCCTGGTAAAAAAAGGTAGATAATTGATCCCTTTAGACCCTAAGTAGGGGTTTTACCTTTTTAGGGTAGGGTTTTTACCTCTCTAGCTTTTACCTTTTAATTCTGCATGCAAAATGCCATTATCTCAACAGGAATCCATGTGAACGAGAATTTCCCGTGAGGTGGCATGCATTGACCTACAGAAAGCTGCTTGGTTTGAAAGAGAATATAGCAAACAGTCATTTCAATACAAATACATACAATCTGGAATTTCACATCAGGGCAAAAGATTTCCCCAAGCAGATTTCGCAATGGGTTCAAATTGGTTACGCAAATTTGCAGAAATCTGCTTGGTTTCAAAGTGATTTCTGTGTGTACTGTGCTTTATACATTGTGACACCATTGCCATTAAACAATGGACATTTTTTTGCCTGTGAAATTTTGCTAATTTTGCCAATGATAACATTAACTCACTCTGGTTCAGAAAAAAAAAACTTAAGCAATCAAACAAACATTACGCAAATGAAAACCTTTCACGTAAGAAACTGCATTAACAAGAGTATAATGAATAATGATACAGGTCTGACTTTATGTGAATGTAACACATTCACTTTCTTATACACAACATCATTAAGCCATCAGTTCTGACTGGAATACTGCATTGAGCTGAACTAGGAACTTAGTATTTGCTGTATTTTTTCCTCAGCTTCTACCCAAGAGTTTTTACTTTTAAATTCAATAATTATTGCTTTAAATACAACTGTTATTGCAGCATGTAGAGACGATTTAAACATGCAAACAAAGCTTGTATTTAGCTAAACTGTCGATACCCACACGTTGAAAAAAAAAAACTGTTTTTGGAAACACATTTGGGACATTCTTTGACAAATGTTCTTAACTTAAGATACAAAATGTAATGCAGCTTTACTCTTTAGTTGTACAAGAAAACCAATTACAACAGACTGTACACACTTACACAGTAACCTAAACAATGAAAACCTCATTCTGCTCTCTATGCTCCCAGACAAGATACGATCATTTGTCGATAAATTCTGTCCTTTTTCGTCTAGACTAAGTGCATATTTAACCAACATATGGTATATTCTCTTGGTTTGTTTGTCTTTGTTGGCATAAATAGACTTCAGGATAAAGTACAGCCGTAATCCTTATCTAAGGTCTGATATTACACTAGAGAACACAGTTTAGAAGAAACAGAGTTACACCTGGACATAAGAAGGAGTGATAATAGTGCGATGAAAACAGCTGTATGTGGTGACAAGGGCTCCAGGGTCTCTCAGTATACACAGAGGTCTGGAAACTTCATTTCATAGACTGGTACGGAGTGGCTCCGGCCGTGACCATTCCCGACAGAGCCAGACGGACTCGGTGGAGGCCTATCCAACAGAGAAAGAGAAAGAGAGATGGAACAAGTGTCAATCACATGAGACAGACAATACAGCCTTTTTCCACTGTAGTGGTGTCCTACTCTGTGTAGTTTTATATGGTTGTTAGTTACATAACATATTCACACTTACAAAAAATTCAATGTTACAGAAAACAGTTTTATATTATGTACCTGATTGTGATTTCGAAGATTTGGTTGAGTTTACTCTGCAACAGGGAAGCCTAGAGAGAAACAGTACAGGCGGAGAGTTCATGCACAATAAAAAAAGAAAAGAACAGATGTAGGAGCTGAACAGAAGAGCTGTGTTTGTGCTATTTGATGATAAAATTAGAGTGTGTATGCTTGCTAGGCATTGGACTCACCCTGGCCCCGCAGTGGGCTGCTATCTCCTCAAACGGGGCGGTCTGAAACCTCTCTACCACCTGCCTTCTGCGCTCTCTCTCCAGCTCCTCCACATTCACGCTGTCTACTGAACAAACACACAAATACAGGTGTTTCTGTGCTAACTGACAAAATCCAGCATAGAAAATGTCTAAACTCTTTTAAATTTTAAATTTAAGTTCAATTTAGAGATATTACGACTAACACATTTTTTGTACCATACCAGTCATTTGTAATTACTGAATAAGGATTATTTAAAATAATATTTTATAGAGATCATTAATCAGAGCGACAGTTCTGTAGCAGTACTATAATATAAATAATAATATAAAATAATATAATATAAAAAAATGACTTCAAAATGGCACTAACGTAAGTTTGGGGTTGGTAGTTTTTTTTTTATGTTTTAAAATGATGTTTTTTAAAATGATTTTAAATGTCTCATTCTCACTTAGTCATCCGTTTATTTGATCAAAATACAGTAAAAACTGCAATGACTGCTTTCAATTTTAATATATTTAATTGTTTTTACTTTAAAAATGTATTCTTGTGATGGCAAAGCTATTTTTCAGCAGCCATTACGCCAGTTTTCAGTGTCACATGATCCTTCAGAACTCATTCTCATATGTTGATTTGCTGCTCAAGAAACATTTATTTTTATTATCAGTGCTGAAAACAGTTGTGCTGCCTAATAGTTTTTTTAGAATATTTTTGTAGGATTCTTTAATGAATCGATTAATCGCGATTAATCACATCCAAAATAAAAGTTTGTGTTTACATAATGTGTATGTGTACTGTGCATATTAAATACATGCATGTATGTGTGTGTATTATATATATATATATATATATACACAGTACACACACACATTGTCACAGGGTTGTGGTTGTAGTAACTGCGCACGACGAAGGAGTAGAAGAAAGTGAGTTTTTAAATAAGCATCAACACAGTATAACCGTTTAAAATAACATTAATCCGAGACAAAGAAGACACAGAAACTGAGGGCTTATAAGGAAGGCAAATTAAGGAGCAAATGAGATGATTAATACAACACAGGTGATCCGAATGAACGAGGATTAACTAAATGACAACAGGAACAGAACCAAATAAGGGCAGACAGGAACTAAACAGAAACAAACATGTCACAGATATCGCCCCCCTCCCGGAAGGCGCGTCCCGCGCCGTAACAGGAACATCGGGGGGGGCGGGCGCCCTGGAGGCTGGTGCAGGACAGGAACAGGGCGGAGACAAGGAAGGCCTCCAGGGCAGATCAGGGAGCCATGGCAGAGCAGACAGTTCAGGTTGCCATGGTGGAGCAGGCAGTTCAGGTTGCCATGGCGAAGCTGGTAGCTCAGAGGGCCATGGCGGAGCTGGTAGCTCAGGGGGCCATGGCGGAGCAGGGGACTCAGGAGGCTCGGCCACGGGTATATGCCCCCCCCCCCTTTTTTCTTGGGGGAAACTAGGAATCCTGGGGGGCGCTCTGGAGGAGCAGGAACTTGAGGGTGCTCTGGAGGAGCGGGAATATGAGGGCACTCTGGAGGAGCAGGCACTTGAGGGCGCACTAGAGGAGCGGGAACTTGAGGGCTCTCTGGAGGAGAGGGCAATTGAGGGCGCTCTGGAGGGCAATTTCGAGGAGCGGGCTCTGGAGGGTGCTTTCGAGGAGCGGGCACTGGAGCGTGCTTTCGAGGAGCGGGCACTGGAGGGTGCTCTGGAGGAGCAGGCACTGGAGGGCGCTCTGGAGGGCGCTTTCAAGGAGCAGACACTGGAGGGCGCTCTGGAGGAGCAGGAACTGGAGGGCGCTTTCGAGGAGTGGGCTCTGGAGGGCGCTTTCGAGGAGTGGGCACTGGAGGAGCGGAGTTCGCTAACACAGAGGGCTCAGGGGACGATGGAGGGCTGGACGGGACCAGCGGAGACTCAGGAGACGAAGGAGAGTTTTCTGGAGCGAACTCTGGTGAGAGGATAGGGGCAGAGAACTCAGGAGGTAGTGCCATGTCCAAAAGCGCTGAGAGGCCAGCGGGCTTGACTGCGGGCTGGTTCTGGATCGGGGCTGGACACTCTCCAGACACTGGAGGATTCCTTCCCTCCAGCTCAGTCCTGTGGTGTCTGGGAGGTCCACGGGGCGATAGTAATTGACCCCGATCCAGAACAGAGAGTTGAGCGTGGTGTCATCTAGCGCCATACACACGATGAGCCCGCAGAACTCCCGCTCATACTTCTCGAATGGGAGATCCAGGCGGGCTAGGGTGGCGAAGCGTGCAGCGATTTCCATCACCGCGGGGAAAAAGGGGAAAATAAAAACACTTTTCAAACCGGCGGAAAACAAACACGGGGAAAAAATGCGCTGCTCACTTTCAGTTTTGGGTCTCGGATTCTGTCACGGGGTTGTGGTTGTAGTAATTGCGCACGACGAAGGAGTAGAAGAAAAGGAGTTTTTAATAAGCATCAACTATAACTGTTGAAAATAACATTAATCCGAGACAAAGAAGACAGAAACTGAGGGCTTATAATGAAGTCAAACTAAGGAGCAAACGAGATGATTAATACAACACAGGTGATCCGAATGAACGAGGATTAATAAGAACTAAATGAGAACAGGAACAGAACCAAATAAGGGCAGACAGGAACTAAACAGAAACAAACATGTGACACACATATAGTATGTAAAAACTAACTTTTATTTTGGATGTGATTAATCGAGATTAAGTGACTTGACAGCACTAGTAACAACACAACTTTTGATCAATTTAATGTATCCTTGCTGAATAAAAGTATTATTTACTTTTAAAAAAATCTTACTGACCCCAAACGTTTGAATGGTAGTGTATATACAATGTTAATGCAAGTAGACTCTCAAATCATGCAAGACTTACCAATGGCTTGTTTAAGAGTTTCAAACGTTATCTGCTCTGCTGTGGATCTCTGTAAGGACACCGAACATTGGTTAAAAATACACACACACACACACACACACACACGTGTAATGAATATTAGGATGTTTTACCTGCTCTTTCTCCGGACTGTTTCTAGACTCCATCTCTAACTGCAGGGAGACTGTGTCTCCAATACTCTTCCTCTTAGACAGTCTGTCTTCATCTGTGTTAGTTACAAAAATAATATTTTCTTAATGTAATGTATTATGAAGAATTCAAGAAAAAAGCTCAGCTGTACTATAACATTTAAATGTGAAATGCCCTCACTTTATGTGTCTCATGATAACACACTATATCAAGACAGGCAAAAATATGACAGGACATCCTTTCTCAGTGTATTTAAAGCTCAGGCTGAGGGTCAGACCTGTGATCTGTGGGATGTATGGAGTGGCCAGTCTCTCTGTGTTGTATCCGCTGCCGCCCAGCATCTCTGCTATCTTAGCCTGCACAAAAAGCACCTCTCCCTCCACCTTCTCTGGGATCCTGAAAGAGAAAGAGGCTAAAGCTATTCTTCAGCTTTATATGGGTGCGCTTTTCTGAGGTAGTAGAAACCAGATGGATAAGAGGTCTCTGAATGTTTTGTGGGTTTAATGCCTTTAATAACCATTTGCTCAGCACATCACAGCTGCAAATGATCTTATAGTGAACCGAAAGACATTGAACTGCGTAAAAACTGTACAGTATGTTCTCAACTCAGTACATAAATTTGTATGAACTGAGAACTATATGTTTCTGTTGGTTTGTTAGTGTGAACTATGGCATAAAAGCTGTGTCTCTCATAATGGTGGTGAGAAGAACATTATGATACTTTGAACAGAAGTGTTGCTTACTTTGAGCTCTCAACAAGAACATCCTCTGGCAGCAGGAAAGGAACAAGTTTCTTTCTTGACTCAATCACCTGCGGGTAGAAACAGACAGATAGATAGATCTATGGATACAGTAGATAGATAGAGAGACATGTGGATAGATGTATGGATGGATGGATGGATGTACAGATAGACGGATAGACAGACAGACAGACAGACAGACAGATGGGTAGACAGACAGACAGACAGACAGACAGACAGACGATATAGATGGACAGACAGACAGACAGACACAGATAGATGATAGATAGATAGATAGATAGATAGATAGATAGATAGATAGATAGATAGATAGATAGATAGATAGACAGATAGCACTCACCTCATGGACGTGTTGGCAGAAGGTGGGCACAGTGGTCAGCTGACTGATGAGGTTCAGGTACGCAGCTGACAGAGCGTGGATGGCACAGCGGTTGTAAACAGGAAGAGCCTCTTCAGTCAAGGCCAGGTCCTGAGGAAGAGGACGCATCAGGGGAAATTAAAAAAGGCTGAGAACTATTGTTATTGTATTGTTATTGTATTGATAGACACTTTTATGACTTGTCTGTAAGACACATACTTGAGCATAATGTAAAGAGATGATGCTGAAGTAAAAGTTGACTTATGTTGGTTTTAAAATGTATATTAATTAACATATATAATTATGCTGACCCTATGTGTCCACTGGCATATTTATTCATCCCCACAGTCATGTACATATCACAGAGGTGAGAGAAACACCTGTAATGCCAAAGCCAGTCGGATCAGGTCCACCACCACCTCCTCATTGGCCAGCTCCACACAAATCAACCCCAGCAATGTATACAGAGACTCAAAGTGCCGCTGGATGCTACTCTCCTCCTTGCAGGCCAGGTAAATGTGGCGGTACAGCCTCTGGCTGTGTTTCTTCATGAACAGGTTATCCTGCCTTGAGCACTTGTCTACTTTCAACTTCAGTACTGAGATATCTGAGATAATTCTGTTGAAAACAATAGAAAAATGCACTGTAAAATGTTTTTCAGGTAAATCTCAAAGACCTACTGTAGCAAAACACTTTGTGCAATTAAATAATATACATTTTTAAAACATGTGTAATAAGAGCAATTCATACTGTGAAATGTATGATAGCAAAAAATACATTTTTAACCACTAACTAATAAAAAAAAAATAATTTTAACCACTAACTAATCAAAAGCTACCATGGTATGTATTAACTATTTCTAAGGGCCATTTGGCCACATTTTAACCAGTACTTCATGCATTACAATACAGAGGTAAATGTAAAATGTGTCAGGTACACTGTAAAAAATATATATTTAAAAAAAAAAATCAAAATTGTAGATTGCTAGAGTTTTTTTTCGAGTGTGTCAGTGCGCCCCAACCTGACAGGGGAGAATTTGTGCCGGTTGTCATGGCGATCAATGATGCTGATGAGGATGTCAAGAACAAGTAGACGGATCTCTGCATCCTCCATCAGAGTGAAGGACAAGAGCGGGTCCAGGAATGAGGTGGGAAGCGCCGTCAAAATGTTTGTAGACTGGAATCCTGCTGTTACCTAAAGGAGAAACGGAGAGACTGACGTTTCAAGGCACACAAGACCATCAGACGGTTTAGACTGCATCAGCAACTGTGGATCATGAAACAGCAGGGGGAGTAAATGGTCTCCGCATAGCACAGCGGGAGATCATGACTGACACAAACCAGCTCACCTGCAGCAGAGACTTTAGCAGCATAATCTGGATCATCCTATTGCCCTCAACCCTGAAACAAGAAACAGACACTTATTGACAAAATACAATATTCTTGCTACGCTAGCATTTATCTTATTAAACACTAGCGTTTAATTTGCATTTCATCTTGGGCCAGCAGAAAATACATCGTAAACATGTCTAATTGATAAAGTAACCCTGTCTCACCCGGTGTTGGCCGACCCCAGAGCCGGATACATGCCTGTCACAGGAATCTTACCAATGATGAACAGCATGACTTCTGAGCGTTGGTAGGTGGGCAGTGTGTTTGCAAATGAGCCTGCAAACAAAGATTGATAAGTAAGGTATCATGCACAGTATCTATCTATCTATATATCTATCTATCTATCTATCCATTTAAAATACAAATACTGAGATAAAATTTTGTTATAATTTTAAGAGTGAAAATGTGGGTTGATATCAAACTGAGCACAGCTATGTAGAAAATTATTTGTCTGAGACAAGCCAATTATACAGTTTAGCCACGGTCATTTTACAAAAATATTTGACTGCCACGACTGTCAGATTCACTCATAAACATTCATTGTTCACCCACCAATGGTTTTGATGACAGCTTCTTGGAGTTGTCTCTCCTCGTGTACTTTAATGACCTTGGAGCCCATGTTTGCAAAAGAGTCGTAGGATCCTGTGAGCTCGTAGTCCACACTGAGTCTGAGCTGCTTCAGTAGAGTATTAAACACTTCCAGTACTGTGGGCCCTGTGGAGAGGGACGGCACAGAGCCAAAACTAAACAAAAAGGGATAGTTCACCCAAAAATGAAAATTCTGACATTAATAACTCACCCTCATGTCGTTCCAAAGCCGTAAGACCTTCGTTCATCTTCGGAACACAAATTAAGATATTTTTGATGAAATCCGAGTGTTTTCTGATCCTGCATAGACAGCAATGCAACTGACATGTTCAAGGCCCAGAAAGGTAGTAAGGACATTGTTAAAACAGTCCATGTGACATCAGCGGTTCAACTGTAATTTTATGAAGCTACAACAATACTTTTTGTGCCCAAAGAAAACAAAAGTAATGACTTTATTCAACAATTTCTTTTCTTCCGTGTCAACAAATTGTATTCTCGTAGCTTCATAAAATTGCAGTTGAACCGCTGATGTCACATGGACTGTTTTAACAATGTCCTTACTACCTTTCTGGGTCTTGAACATGTCAGTTGCGTTGCTGTCTATGCAGGGTCAGAAAGCTCACAGTTTTCAACAAAAATATCTTGTTCCAAAGATCTTGATGACATGAGAGTGAGTAATTAATGACAAAATTATCGTTTTTGGGTGAACTATGCCTCTAAAGAACATTGTCAATGCGTATGATTTCTACTGTATAAAATTGAATTATTTGTCAAACATATAAACACTTGATACATATTAAATAAGCAGTGTGTAATAGTGTAAATCCTATAAAATGCTTGTCTAATGAGATGGTTTTAGTGCTCCCTCTAGTGGTCTAAAGAAGGTCTGTTACCTATGGATCCACTGGCCTCTATGACAGCTGCCTCTGAGATCACCTCCACTATCCCAGCACGCACTCGGGCTGAATTCTTACTGTTGGCATCCAAGTGGCCCAACAGCTGCTGAATCACCAGATGTGAATGTTGGGACTGTCAAAGGATCCGTAGATGAGTCAATATTACAGTAACACAAACGCATATCGAATTATAACTTCATTCAATTTTTTAACAATAAAAACAAAGAAATGTTATGACGTAAAGTCAATACGAAATATTAATACATTATGAGATTTTTCACTCTAATCGTTGAGCTTATAAGATCATTTGTAAAAAAAATAAAAATAAATTGAATAATGCAAAAATATAAATATTTTCACTACTGTTCTGAGACTTTCAAAGCTACAGTATTTTAAAGATGTTTAAATATGTCCCCAAACACCACGTAATTATTTAGTAGCAAATGGCCATGCTCTACAATGCAAGTGTGTCTTGCATTGTATTTTGTGTCAGATACTTTTACAATCAAATTTCAGTACAGTTGTTTGTATCTACCTGAATGGAGTACATAATGATTTTGAAACAGCGCACTGCAAATGTTTTGCTCTCCCAGAGTGAATGGTTATCAAGGTGCCTGGAAATATACAAGTGAATTAATGATTAGCTTCAGCAAACAGAACTAGAGCAGGAAACAGCAAACAAAGTAGGTAAAAAAAAAAAATACACTGGCAAAACAGATACTAGTTACTTTTACTGTGAAGTATGTTTTAGGCTAACAATGAGGACAATTTGTTACATTTTTTTCTACATTCCCTTTCCAGTGCTACATTTCTGTAGTGCCCCTAGTGAAAAATAAATATAATAAAATGCATTTGCACAACATTTATTTCATGCTATGTATACTACAAATACATACATAATAAAAATACCCTGCAATTGTACTTTTAGTATACTAAACTGGTATACTTAAAGTCTGCTAAATTGGAACAACTAATTTTGTACTTAATGTACTTTCATTTTAGGCTTAATATTAAGAAATGTGCATTGTGAACAAGTATTACTCCAAATATTAAATTATAATTTTTACACCAGTAAGTCTCGAGTGATATGTCAGTAAATATGTTAACAGATCTGAACTATACTTAGTATGAAATACATACAATTTTAAATATATTACTTTTTTTTACTAGAGGCATCGTTTGTGTAAATAAAAAACCTCGTCCTGACATTCTACAATGACATAAATTAATTTATATGTATAAATGGAAACCTCTGCCGAGGTCAATTATTAATAATTCATCCAAGCATCCATGTCATTATTTCATTTACACCCTACACGAATATTTGAAGTTGGTAAGATAAAAAAGTAATATAGTGAAATGTTATTACAATTTAAAATCTTTTTCATTTCTTTCAAAATCTTACTGACTCCAAACTTTTAAATGGTAGTGTATGTGCATTGTTTTGCATGAATTATAATAAGTAGTCCAGTCGATTAGTAACAGCTGCATGATCATTAAAGTCACCACAATCCTGAATTCATATAGTCATTTATTGTCAAATATATGCCCATTATTCATAAAAAAAAAATTAAAAAAAAATTGTTAAAGGGGTCATATGATGCGATTTCAAGTTTTCCTTTCTCTTTGGAGGGTTACAAGCTG